AGAGACGCCTGTTGGACACAGCGGCGGGGACGTTGCTTCTCGCCGCTGCCGCGCTCTTGCCTCACCAACGGTATCCCTCACCGCACGTCACTGATACATAGCATTCTCTCCTCTTAGTTTTCTCCACAACCACAATCCTGTAAAGTCAGATGGCCCGAGTTAGAATGACTGGCTCAAACTCACCTTGTGAGCTTCTATTTCTGGAAGGAACCTCATAAATTCCCTGGGGCAAATCCAATACCTTAACCACTACACCACATTGGATCACCAATTATACAATCACTGACCGAGGCAGTGACATGTCTTAAATTATGCTAGCTAATTACTAACAAGGACATGAAATGGGAGACATTTTTTTACTCAAATGTAAAATTAAATTAATTTTCCACTTTTTTATATGCTTGAATAATGTTAGAATTTGATAAAACTCTAATAATCTCATTCACATTGACAGATCAACAATGGTAGGAAGAAGCTCCATCATCTAAAGAAAACCATCATTAGTCTCTCATTGTATGCAGGAGAGAATTACTCCATAAGTTAGAACCAATGTGTTTATCACTAAAACATTCAGAAATCTTTAAACAATCATATATGGAACCTGGAATAAAGACAAACTTATTTTGTCAATTGGAAATTGCTACCTAGTTTGTACACATTTGAATCAGATGTCCAATATAGCTTTCAATGGAGTTGGTTTCAGAATTCTATTACTTTATAAATATATGATTTTGTGTCATTGCTTTATACTCTTCAGGAAGCAGATATATGCTGGGGAGAGGTATTAACGGTGTAGCAGTGAAGTCCTGGAAGACAATGTCATGTGTATATAGATTGCCCTCCACTTCTCTATCTTGGCTACCGGCCAAGTGTGACAGAAGAAAAATACGATCCCAAGATTTGACTGACATCCCAACAGAATCTCTACATGAAATGGAAGAGTACCATTGTGACTTTCACATGAGGATCAAAATGCCTCGGATAAACCCTTCTTTAAGGTACAGTAATATATTACCATGACCTACTACAAAACTGTGTGGAAATGAAATATGTACAACAAATTTTCTTATTCATAGAGTAGGAAGGAAAGGCAACAATATGGGTGATTATTGAAGGAGAAATCATGTTTCTCACACAGCTTTCCCACAAACAATGGAATAACCATAATTCTCTTATTTCTGTCTTTTCTATACAGATGTTTGGATGCCTGGTATAAACGTACAATTTAACACCATGGCTGTGTTCCACATTCATTTCACCACATGTAATTGTAAGTACTGTATCATATGAGCTTCCTAGTATTTCATTTTAGCCCACCATTTCACTAAAATGCTAAAGCTATATAAATACGGGTCAGCCAAGGCAAGTGAGACATATTCAAAGCATTTTTGAGAAAACTAAATGCAGACAGCAATTAAATAAGAAGCCTTATTTATTTCAATTTATTTTAGAACATTAAAACTGTTCCAACAATCACTACAAAATCTGGGATACTGTTTAAGTTGGCATCAGTAATTGCAAGGCCGATATTTAAAAACAAGAATTGGAAGTACAAACACACTCAGTTAATGTCAAAAAGAGCCATGTCCACTTCTTCCCCATTCACATGGATGTGTGTCTTAGTTTTTTAAACAGTAAATAAAATCGAATCATTATATTAAATGTCCATAAAGTTCATAAACAGTGTTCATAAAGTATAAACACAGTAGCCCTGATTTTAGAAAAGTTCTTATTGAACTGTTTCATTTTAATTTGTTTCATCTTTTATCAAATTGAGCCTGTAGCTTATGCTGACTTGACAGCATGAAATTTGCAGGTGTTCAGAAAATCAAACAATTTGCAGTTCAGCTTATTTGAAAGAAGAGAAAGTTATCAGTTGGTCCAGGAGTAATTAAACATGAGGAATGGGTAGGAATCTAATGGGTTGTAAAAATAAGAAACTGAACTTAGGTAAAGGTAAAGGTTCCCCTCACACATATGTGCTAGTCATTCCCAACTCTAGGGGGCAGTGCTCATCTCCATTTCAAACAGCGAGCGCTGTCTGAAAACATCTCCGTGGTCATGTGGCCGGCATGACTAAACACTAAGGCACACGGAACGCTGTTACCTTCCCACCAAAGTGGTCCCTATTTTTCTACTTGCATTTTTTACATGCTTTGGAACTGCTAGGTTGGCAGAAGCTGGGACATTGAACGGGAGCTCCCTCCATTACGCGGCACTGGGATTCGAACCGCCGAACTGCCAACCTTTCTGATTGACAACCTCAGTGTCTTAGCCACAGAGCCACTGCGTCCCTAAACTGAACTTAGAGGTGGAAAATCTGAAACATGACGGGTATTTTCTTTGACCCTGTAACATCTTTACTGATCTCTTAAAGTTATTGCTATAGTTCATAACATTTGTGTAATTCATTAGAATCTGATGGAAAAGCCAAGGCATTTTCTGATTAATGAGGAATCAGTGAGGTATCTGCATCCTGGCAGAAACATATAGTAAAAGAGTAGGACAAAAAGATTTCAGAATGGGTAAAGTTGCATAGTACCACAAGAACATAGAAATATCCCTAGCTATAAAAACTTTATAAAAAGATAGGCTGCTTGTTGGCTCAATTTATGAAACTGATATTTAAGTGAATAATATATATACACTTTTGAAAGTCGTTCATTGGAAAATGTCATTCTGTGAGCTTATGAGTCTAACAATAAGACTTTGATTAGTCTTCTACTAAAGAATGTATGGTTGTAATAATTTACTATGCAATGCTGACATATAATATACAGTAGTGTATATCAAGCATCCCCAACCTCCAGGCTGCAATCCGTTGGGACAGGCTGCACAAGCAGCAGGTGAGTGTGCAAAGCTCCATTTGTGCATGTGCGAACATGAAATCATCCCTTCTTCCCCTTGCCACCGCTGCCAGTCCACAGAGCCATATAAGTTGGGACTGTTGATCTATATAACTTATGATGCACTTCTCACAAATTAGTGATAAGTTCATAATAGCAATGGAATGTATCTTTTGAATCTGTTCTACTTATTTCAAAAGATGGTGCTATGGAAAGTGATATAATCATTTCTACTTTTCTATTTTTTGTCTTTTAGTTTTCCTGCTCCTTTAATCTATTTATATAATGGGCCAGATCTCTAGTTATTAATATTTGGAAAAATGTGGAACATAAAAGCTGAGAATTTGCAAAATCTAAATATGGCAGACAAACTATCATGAATTGGTGAATCTATTCCTTTGTCCCTTTGTCGTCATGTGCTATGAAATGCGGGGAACCAATATGAAATTGTGATCTTAATGCTATTACATCTAGTATATATGTGGGGGAGAATCTGGTTGCAGGGTCGAATTATAATAATAGATTCATATATCTGAAGGATGAAACACACATTTTATTAGTTGTAATTAGCATTCATCAATATGCATCTTCTGTCTCAGATATTGTACATCTTTCTGCCCTGCAGTACTGCATTCTAACCATTGCACCATCACGGCTCTTATTTTATTATGATACTTTATAGGGCCAAGAAATGTGCCCACCCATCATTCTTCTTCCAGTTTGCAGTTTCTCATCTTTTCATCTTTAACCCAATAACCAACATTTTGCCTTGGAATGCTAAGAATAGTTATTCAAAACATTATATCAGAGATGGTATTCAGCAGGTTCTGACTAGTTCTGGGGAACCAGTAGCGGAAATTTTGAGTAGTTCGGCAAACCGGTAAATACCACCTCTGACTGGCCCCGCCCCCACCTATTCTCTGTCTCCTGAGTCCCAGCTGATTGGGAGGAAATGGGGATTTTGCAGTATCCTTCCCCTGCCACGCCCACCAAGCCACGTCCACCAAGCCATGCCACGCCACCAAACCACGCCCAGAGAACCAGTAGTAAAAAATTTTTTGAATCCCACTACTGCATTGTATGCATATATACTGTAACAATATATATAGTGTTCATGGAAGGTTTTTTTCATTTTTGCAAACTAGTTAAAAATATACAACCCAGTAATATGAATCTCTGGTTATTCTTAAAAAATCCATTGTTTTTACATACAGTACATATAACTTGCGAATATAAATATTTGAAAATTGATACCTGGCTTTCAAATGTTGCAGCAAGCAACAGTAAATATTTCTTTTTGAGAAGATAAGACTAGAAGAGTATTGACAGCTCCACCACAGTATAACTAACTGTAGCCCTAACCTCACTGCATGTGTGCATAGGATAAACAGTCACATCAATACCTGACTGTTTTTAAAGCAAACTTTTGCAGCTGTGCTTGAAACCCCAGAAAGTTATTTAGGATACAGAAGGAGACACTTTTGACAGATACCTTTCAGTTCAATTCACAAGTCTGGAAGTTTTCTAGTCTTACAAGGACAGATGGAAGGAAGTCTCCTTCTCTGCTTCCAGTGCAAGACACCCATGCAATCCATGCTTTAAATAGCTGAAGGACAGCTATTCAATTTTTGGAGCTCTGCCTCTGTGACTCTGTATATAAAAAGTTTTAGTGAAAATTTTTGTCTGTGCAAAATTACGTGAGGTATTAGTACCGCTTTATAAAATGACCTTAGTAAGACCACACCTGGAATACTGCGTACAATTTTGGTCTCCACATTTTGAGACTTTGGAAAAAGTTCAGAGAAGAGAAACTAAGATGATTAAAGGCCTGGAGATGAAAACATATGAAGAACAGTTGCAAGATGAGGTGATATTCAGTCAGTTCTGACAGGTTCTGGAGAATCGGAGTGGAAATTTTGAGTAGTTCAGAGAACCGGCAAATAGGCTGGCCCTGCCCCCTCTGCCTCCCAGCCTCCCTTTTGTTGCCCTGAACAGGAGAACGGAGCTGGAAAGCAGGTTAGGGGGTGGGGAGGGAATGGGGATTTTGTAGTAACCATCCTGTGCCACACCCACAAAGCCACACCCCACCCACAAAGCCATGCCCACAGAACTGGTAGTAAAAAAATTTGAATCCCACCACTGATGGGTATGGCTAGTCTAGAGAAAAGAAGGACTAGGGATGACATGATAATGGTATTCAAGAATTTGAGGGGCTGCCACAAAGAAGATAGGGTTTCCAAAGCACCAAAGGACAGGACAGGAAACAATGGATAAAAACTAATCAATGAAAGAAGCAATCTGGAATTAAGGAGAAATTTCCTAACAGTGACATAATTAACTAGTGGAACAACTTGCTTTCAGAAGTTATGGATACTTTTTAAGAAGAGACCGGACAGCCACTTGTCTGAAATGGTGTCGGGTCTCCTGCTTGAGCAAGGGGTTGTACTAGAAGACCTCCAAGGTCACTTCCACCTCTATTCTGAATTAAAATGTTAGCCTTTTGTGGGGAAATGATTATGATATTTCTAGTCTCATTTGAAAACATTTTATTTAGCAAAATATCCATGTTCTAATTTTTTTTAAAAACCTTTCCCCCCTCCGAAACAATTACAAGTTATATGGTCTTTTTTATCCCTTGCCTTCTGCAACAATGATCTGATGGACAGGAGACAATACTATATTTGTGAATAATCTGCCTTCCACTTATCATAACAATCCTAGGAGACACTGAGTTCAATCACTTATGGATTGTAGCATGCTTCTGTACTCCTGTTTATGCTTCAAAATAAATGAAAATTCACAGCTATGACAAGCAAATGCCTTATTTTCTTCCTTACTTATTCACTTCTTGTAAACAAAAGTATACATGGTGGGAAAAGAAAAGTAGTAATTTTCCAAAAATTGTTATAGAAGGATACATATTGCTCCACCATTAAACCACTGAGTTTTTCCTGAGAGCCAAACATACTTTGGACATTTAGAGTAAATATTACAACTCAGTCTGGATGGAGAACATGAATGATGATAGTCTTTAATCTTAGACTCTCCACTGTGGTTCTGATTCAGATGAGAAGCTTTATATTCGTCATTTATATCACTAGAACAAACTCGTGGGCCACCTACGGCCTTTTATTTGTCCTATCTGGCCCATGGTGGCAGTGGTGTTGGCGATGGGCATGTGGGGTAGCTTTGACAGGGGACAGTGCAATTTCAGCAGGTTGGCATGGTAGCTGGATAGCAGGGTTGCAGGGTGGCAGCCAGGCGAAGTGACAGCACTCCACAACAATCTTGATTTCTCATGTTGCCCCTTGGGAAAATCAATTGCTTACTTGCACTAGAAAGTATTTCTTGAAACAAAATTTAAATTTTTTAAGGGCAAGCTCAATGTAAAACCTTGCCTATATTTTTAAAATGGTGTGAAGTT